AATAATAATAATAATAATAATAATAATAATAATAATAATAATAATAACAACAACAACTACTTCGTAGTCATGTGCTAACAGCATGGTGCATTCCAAGTTATCCAAACAGGGTTGTAAGACTGAGATTTAGGAAGATGTGAGCCACATTTCACCTACATAACATTTCTGACTTTCCAACAGGCGATAATGAGAATTCTCAATAACCTTAAAGCACCATAACCCCTGGGTTTCTCACCCTTGAGTAACTAAAGGCTTTTTAGTAGCAAAGCTTAACAACATTACATTAACAAGATACTAATAGCAAAGCCCACCAGAAGACAGTGACCTCATATAAATTTTATTACAGTCTGCCACTTCTTCAAATCCATCAGCTCTAGCTTCTCTGCTTATTACTAGTCTAAGGTCATTAGGTAATTTAATGACCGTCTGGCAATAATAAGACTCCACCTACCTACATTATCCACAAGTCTTCTACCCATAGGTGCCCTTTCTGATGCTTGACTTTCTTGTCTGTAATTATTTATCACAGGACAGTTCTTAATGGCATGTGTCAGCGATATAAGCTGCTCATCTGTAGTGACCATGTACTGCTGAAGTCGCGCCTAAAGGAAATCACACGTCACTGGCAGAACAGACATCAGTCATTATCTAAAGAGTAAGCCATACAGAGATGGGAGTGAGTATGTATGTGTGTTGAGAAAGAGACAGGGAGACAGAGACCATTACTTTAAATAGCGACACAAGAGCAATGTTATTAGTAATTACAAATACTCAAAAGGTATCATGATGACAAAATAATTAAATAAATCATTAACTACTATAACTAAGTACTCTGCTATAAAAATTAAACCTAACCTTTTTAATAGAACTTTTAACTTATAAAATCTTTTCATAGAGATCATCTCTACTGACTGACTACAATAAGAGTGATAGATAGGGCAAACACAATAGAGCATTCATGGGCATTTAAGTGGATAAACTTTAATGTCATAAAAACATATCATTATGTAGAGGAAATAATTTTAAGGGCAAAAGAAAAGAAAAGCATTCTATATGTAGCATGATTACAATTTTAAATGAGAGATAATTGTATTTTACGCATACTCACATTTGTCTATGCATATATACACCTACTAATATTATGTAATTTTTAATTTAAAGTTTACTCTCTCTCATACAGCTGAACATGTTTAGAATTCCATTTTTACATTAAAAGCCAACTTCCTTGTCCAGAAATTTAGATGGATTTTATCTTTTCCATACTGTAGATGTAAAAGGTAATGTGAAATCAACAAGTCTGATTATAACCACAAAAAGCAAGTCTTTCATGACTATTGGCATACTGTTCTTAGAAGCATATAAAATGGCAGGTAAAAGAAAAGAGGAGTTGTATGTAACTGCCAAGACCTTATAACAAAGACAAAGTAAGAGAAATCAGTGATGACAGCTAGCGATACGTCATACCTAAAAAAGTAGGTATGGTCCAGACAGAAATATTATCAATAGTGTAGTATCAATGAATAAAGCATATAAGACAACTTTACATCACCAGCCATGTTCTCCCTAAATTTCATATTCACATATTCAGTGGTCTTTTGAGTATCACCATCTAGGACTCAAATAGACTTCTCAAACTCAGTATATATAAAGGCTAATAAGCTCCTCTTGAATCCTTCTACAATGTAAACAGCAGCTTCATCTTTTAAATGCCTAATCCCAAACTGCACAATTACCTTTAGCTTCCCCCCCTCACATTCTTGTCTTTACCACATTTCCAATGGGATTGGCTGACCTTCAAAACACACTCTGAATTTGCTGTCTTCACACGTTTCCCACTTCCACTCTAGAACAGGCTGCTATGCCCCATCTGAATCACTCTCATAACTCCTAGATGCACTTCTCTCCTCTCAGGCAGATTACATCTGAGCCAATGGAGTGATTTCACAGGGACATCAGAGAAAACCTTCAGTTCTCAAGAGAAACCAATAAAGGCACCATCTATGCAGCATTAGTCAACTATTAACTGGAGGCAGTTCAATTTAAAAATGAGATTTCATTATATTCTTTTCAGTAGTATCAAATCTTCTTACGCAAGCATGGCAGCACATGCCTGGAACTCTAGCACGCAAGAAGCTGAGACAGAAGGATCACAAGGTCAAGGCCACATTAGGCTACATAGTAAGACCAACTCTCAAACAATAACGAGAAAGCCAACCTAAAAGTAATCAAATCTTCTTATGACTAGGTATCTGGAAACAGCTATATTAAAAATACAAGTTCTGGGTAGAAACACACTAAGAAATAAGAAATAAAGACAATGATGTCCAAAATAACTCTAAGCTTAGGATAGTTGTACAGTATCAGAAAGGTACAGATATCTCACTAATAACTGTAGTCATTTAAAAACAAAATAAATGCATGGCTCTTTATTTCTACTTATATATTAAGTATTTATAAACACTAATTAAGTACATTACTGTTCAAACAGCTCCTAATGGTTAGAGCCTGAGTCAGGCCGCACTAAGCGACCCAACAGAGGCTCTCTGCTCTAGTCACACATAGCACAGTGCAGTGCATGTACTAGTCTGAGGGTGCACAGTGCATGCACAGTAGCCCAGCTGAGCTTTCTAAGACTTAAGTCACAGCGTGACTCTTTTCTTCAGTGGTCCCCGTTTCACTTGCCCAATGCCTGAACCAGCATGCAAAGTGCCCTATGTGCGGTACTTTTCCCATCTTTTCTCTGACTGCTCTCTCTCTTTCCACTTCACTTCCTCCACACTGGTATGCAATTATACCTCTACCTCAAGATCTCGGCCCTTACTTTTCCTCTGCCTGACCTGTTCTTTAAGCACCCTGCAAGTATTAATTACCCACACCAACAATAAGATGGATAAAATATTCTATGTTCTCAAGCAGAATAAGGTCACAGTGACGAGAACTGACGTAAGTCTAACATAAGTGGGTAAATTCAATGATACCACATCGAAACACATCAAAAGCATGCAGAGGAAGACTTCCTAGGGGGTCAGAGGGCTAGCTCAGTCAGTAAAGTGCTTGTCACACAAACATGAGGACCTGAGTTCAAATCCCCAGCACCAATATGAAATCCCAGGTATAGCAGTATATGTTTATAACCCCTGTGCCAGGGGCACAGAGGCAGGCAGATTCTTTGAGCTCACTGGCCAAAGTCTAGTGAGCTCTATGTTCACTAAGAAACCCTACCTCAAAAAATAAGACGAAGAATGAGTGAGGCGGACACCAACATCAACCTCTGTCATCCACACATTCTTGCACATACACATGAACATGTATAATCACACAGCACACACGGAGAGAGAATACGTAAAGAAGCATGCAGGCAGTCAGTGTTCTAGAAAAGACACTGTGTGCCTTTTTGTAGAGCAATTAGTCAAGCAGCACGTCAAATATGAAGCCACTGAAACAACCACAAGTAGCATCTGCCATCACTGTAGGAGGGCTCAAAGGCTCAGCTACCCTCTGCTCTAAAGTGACAAATGGCTACCAGAACACTGTTTCACACTCTTTATAAATGACCACGGTATTGGTGGCTACTGAAATGTAGATCCTGTCATTCCCACTCCATATTTCTTAGAAATGGCAAACTTACCCTGCATATTATGTGCCATTTAAGTTTTGACTACAGGACCTGACATAACAAACATTAGTGTACACCCACTGCTGCTGCTGAGCCTGACAGGTGATCACATCAGAGCGGCTAAGCCATCAGCAACTCCAGGAGAACCATGCATGCACACAGACATGGTCACTACTAAACACGGAGCCTTTGGGAGAGCATGTGAATACCTGCGTGGTACTGTTCTCTTCTCTAAGGAGGAGAATTTCAGCTGTCAGGGCATCGATGAGCTCTCGATGATCACCTAACATCTGTTCCAGCTGCTGCCGTGTCTCCACTTCCTTCCGCAGTTGGATCTCACTCTACAAAAAAACAAGAAGATAAACTCCCACCAGCAGCATCATACAGTGAAAACTACATTTCTACAAAGAGAGCAAAGATAATTACAAACATGAACCATGACGATGATGAGATTTAAAACTTGCATTAAAAGGCTATATTTAGTTAATAAAAATACACTTTTGTGTCCTTGTCCACCTTTCAACAGCTGTTAACACTTCTTATAAATGATACTTATAGAATTGAAGAACTACTTTTTTCCATTTAACAAGTGAAGGGCTGTGCATACTGTCTAAATACACAGACCATCTATAGAAAAACACATTGTATCTGGTCATGATAGGCTACAGGGAAACAAATAGGGTAACTACAAGTTAGGAATGAGAATTAGGTTTTTCATTTTATAATCTTTATCTTTGAATTTCATGTTCTCTGATATATTGCCAATCAAAATTGATAGTTAAAATATAATTTAAAACAAGTATATTCAACTATATTGACTATTTCTATTAAATGGCATAGCTTTGAAAGTAAGTAAATAGTTAAATGGCACATACTACTAAGCCTGCAATGCTTTCGAAGCATTAGCACATTTTTAAGGACTACAGACTTCAGAGAAAAGCATCTGGAGTGGGGAAAGTAACAGAAGTGAGAGGGAGGTAAGAGAGGATGGGGTGGTACTGTGTATGTGTGAAACTGTCAAAGAACAAGCTGAATAAAAGATAAATAGTGGGGAGAAGACACCCACTAACTATCATACCGTTCATATTGTAAAAGAAACGTGTACAGCACTCTGAAGGAAAGGATGAAATAATCACAGAATAAGGCTCTACTGAAAAGACTTCTACATGTCTGACAGTACAACAAACCTTTCATTATAAGGCAGTTTTAGGAAAACAGCCCCAGATGGCATGTCAATTACAGTGATAGAACTACTGTGTAAATTAAAATTTTCTTAACATTTCCGTCATATTTGTTCAACAGATTTAAGTACATTATAAGTAAGCCTTATGTAGATTTTTAATGTGTATATATGCATTTTTGTGAGGGTATGCACACATGCAAACCTCAAATGTCATTCTCAGAAATAGAGACAGGGCTTCTCATTGACCTGTAGCTCACCAATTGGCTAGACTGGCTGGCTAATGAGCCCCAGTGATAGCCCTGTCTTCACTTCCCTAGTGCTGGGACAAGCATGTACCACCATACCCAGGGATCCAGGGTTATTTTGGGTTTTTTAGTTTGGTTTGGTTTTATGAGGGCTTTGGGGACTAAACTCAGGTCCACATACTTTCAAAGTAAGAAACTTTCGCAACTGAGCTATCTTCTAGCTCCTTAAGTAGATTTTATAGAAAATTAAATGTCCTACTAATTCTGTACCACCTGAGAACCGATTATAATTTCTAATTAAACAATTCTTTATTCGATAAATTACTTTCACAATGAGACAACTCCCATTCCAGGAGACCAGGAACAGTTTCTCCACCTATGAAATTTACAGATTGCAGGAAAAGCAACTCTACAAGTGGAACTGATATAGGAGCAGCCAGCAAGAAAACAATGTAATAAAGCTACAGTTAACAGTGTTAATTAAACCAAAATACCCATGTAGGAATACTTGTAACTGGCCTAAGATATTACTTTATTCATAGCAGATTTATCTCACAATTAAAACTCACAGTAACATCAGAATATTTATCTAAGCATGTGTTTAATGATAAGAGAGGAACTACAAGCATAAATTTTACTACAGATATACTAAAACAGTAAAATAAAACTGTTCAAATTTGGCTGTCCTTATTTGGAGGTTGCAGTACATTAAGCAAGGAGAAAGAATCTACATAGATTTCCGCCTGAAGAGAAGATTCATATAATCTTGTATTCTTACCTCTTTAAGGTACCGAACTAGGCGGCAGAGAGAGCTCACCAGTGACAGGGTGAAGCCTGTGAGCCCCTGACCACCCTGCAGGCCCTTGACCTCACGCCCTGTCCACCGCTCATATTCTTCCATTTCATGTTCCACTTCATTTATCATGTGTTTGAGGATATCCAGGCTGGAGTTATTGTTGGTTGGTAAATCTGCAGAGGTTGTGCTGGTGGATAACATGTTTTTCGTCTGCTTGGAAGGAGCACATATATCTGGTTTCCTTTTCACTGAAAACAACAAAAGTCATTCTATTTCAAAACCAGGAAAATTACAACTACTAAATTACCAAGAAAACATTTACTTGTTCACCATTTTTAAAAAGTTAGAAGTCACCACAATTTTATAATACAAACCTACAAAGTTTACATCATCTATAACTAACATATTATGATACTCTCTCTCTTACAGTATATGGAATAGAAAAGATTTCTTGCCTTCCCCTCAACAAACTCATACTTAAATAAATCCAAATGGATGAGTTTCAGGAAAAAAATATTTACTGAGTGATTAATAAAGCTATGACAAGATGGATGTTTAACAATTCATCTTTGTAAAGTGAGAAAATGTAGACCTTTACTTAACAGCTGCTTTTGCTTCCTTGAGTTCAGCACTTGTCCCACATAGCTGGAGTCTAAAGCCTCAGCAGCCTCCTCAGGCTGAAGACCAGCATGGATTCTCTTGACAGCATCCGTGGCATTCAGAGCAACTGGAAAGGAAGAAAACAGCAAAAAGCATTTCAAGGGAGTAAGCTTTCTCTAAAAACAGTTCCACTAATAGGTTTAGTCAATATATAAAGACTCCAAAAGTTAAGTAGCATTTGAAATTTACTGTGTTCAAGACAAACAAAAACAAACAAACCAAAGAAAGTTTGCCACTAGAAAAACTGCAAAAGAGCAACTAGCCTTTCTGTTCCTCTGCTGAGACCTCCAAGGGTAGAGTTCCTGGAGGAGTTCTCTGTGACTGGGTAGCTATTTTCTGCTGAATATCAGTCCACAGTTGATTGATTAATTCAGAATTCTCTTCCTTTAGTTGGTGAAGAAACCTATAAATTATGGAACAGTTAGAATAGATCTATCATTTAAACTGTTTAACAGTTCATGTGTTTGAAAGTTCTTAGCAATTCACAATTAAATGATTTTATTGACTTTAGCTGACAAGACAATGTTGTGATTAAATGAAAAATGTCCCCCATAGGCTTATGCATTCACAAACTTTGGTTCCCAGCTGGTGGTGCTGTTTGGGAAGGTTATAAGACCTTCTGGGGGTGACCTTCTGGGGGAAGACTGTCACTGGGGTTGGAGCTCTAAGGTCAGGCTTTCATAGCCCAGCCCCACTTCCTCCTCCCACTCTCTGCTTTCAGACAGCTAAAGCAGTGTGACAGGCTGGCCTCCCTGCCATAAATGCCATAAACGACTGTATTCTCGCAACTTTACCCCTGTATGGGTATTTGATCACAGCAACAGAACAAGGCTAATATGCACAGGTAGGAAGCAAAAGGCCCATCATCTCAGGGAAGAAATCAGTCTATCTACTTTGCAGTTTCTGTGTCCCATGGTCCCTTACACAAGAGTGCTTGCCTTTGTGTCTCACGCTTCTTTTGTTCTCTAAAGTGTATAAATGATTCTGTCCTTGTGGCTTCTTCTCCCCTCCAGGAAAGCCAGTCTCCACAGCAAACAGTTTCCTCATATTGAAGGAAATGTTTCGCACCAGAGGTGGAGCAGAAGGAGTCAGAAGAGGAGCCCAGGGACTTAATACTTGAAAGCGCTTTCATGAGAGAGCTTAGCGTTATCCACAAACATCACCATCATGGACAATGTAGGTACTTCATTTCTCACTTAAAGTGAGACTTAACAAGTGGGAAGATAGAAAATAGAAACAAATATCTACCATCTAATGAATGAATGTGTAAAACGTGGTATAGCTATTCAATGAAATACCATTCAGCCACAGAAAGGAATGAAACATTGCTATCCACTACAACATGGAAGACACCAGACACAAAAGACAGCACAATGCATGATCTCTACATGACAAGTGGAAATAGGCAAATCCATAGGACAGAAAACATTATCAGTGGTTATCCAATGCTGAAAGGGTTGGGAGGAAATGGGCTTTCTTTCTGAGGTGATGAAAATATCCTAAAATTGACTGCAATGGTGACCAAATGACTATTAATGTATTTTTAAAATACTGAATATTTATGTTATAAATAAACAAGCTGTATATATATGAACTATAAATCAAACTGTTAGAAAATTGAAGAGGAGGTAAGTAATCTAATTAAGCTGCTCCAAAGCCCAATTTCAAGCAAACTTTAAGCAGCACATTAGAACACCATTTGCTAAAAAGTGTATCTAGCAAAACAGCCACAATATGAGCCTTGCATGGGGAAAAATGACAAGAAAAGGCCCTTTGTAAGACAATACTGGTGGTTGTAAGTCCAACCTTTACGATAAATCTCAAAAGAATGCTCTACAAGTTGGAAAAATAAACACCACATTCTTATACTTACCATCTCTAATGTTAATGCTTCCAAGAGTCAGGCTACATAGTAACCATAAAAAAATACATAATCAGGGTAGGCTAAAAGCTGTCAAAAGACACCTACAACCCAATCCCTAGAGTCTGTGAATACTATCTTATCACATTAAAAGGGAACTTTGCAGATGTGGTCAAATTAAAGATCATGAGATAAGGACAAGTTCCTAAACTACTGAGGAGTGCCCTAACTGCAAAATGCATGCATCCATAGAGAATAAGTAAGACGTGATCCACTTAAGGGTGAAGATGGAGGCAGAGACTGGAGTGATGGAGCCACAAGTCAGAGACTGCCAACAGTCCCTACCAACAGCCACCAAAGGAGAAAAAAAGAAAGCAACAGATTCTCTTCTGGCCTCTCCCAGATGGTGTAATGGCCCTAAACACACCTGATTTCAGCCTAATGAAACATATTTCAGATTTCAAACCTACAGACACAATGAATTTGTATTGTCTTAAGCTGCCAAGCTTTTGCTAATCTGCTACAGCATCATGAGAAAACAGACTATGACTTGAGCAGAATGCTAGTGTAGAAACAGCTTGGAAGTAAATGGCTTGGGAGTAAGCCTAGAATTTTTAAGTGAATGACAGAAGTAGCCTACATTGTCTTAAATAAGCTATCGGTAGAAATGTAGATATTAGTAATTCCTCCAATAAAGACATAGAGGTGTACTGTAGAGAAACCCCAAACTGACTTAGAGAATTCCCATACTGTAAATAGAAAGTTGACAGAAATATGACTGTCAGCAGAGCTGCTAGTCTGAGAGTTCAGAAGGACCTAAAAAACATGCTGTTAGAAACCAGAGGCCAGCTAATGCTTGGGGTGGTAGAAATCATACTGTAGTTGCATACAAAGGAGAAGTTTATAAGAAGTTTTGCTGAAGAGACTCCAAAGCAAAGTGCTAAGCACACCATGGAAGGGAAGGGAAAAACTGAGGGCAGACTGTTAAGCAAAAAGGACTCAGGGTTAAGATTTCAGCTCAGTGCTTGCCTAGTATGCTTGAGGTTCCAAGTTCAATAGCTAGTACTGGAAAAAATAAAAAGGGATTAGGACTTGAATTTTTGAGAAATGCTTGGGCCTGCAGATCTCAAAAGATATGCAAATTAGAACTGTAGCTAAGAAAGCAAGCTCTAGAGAGGAGAATACGTGTGCTGCCGAGTGTTTGCTAGTTCTGAGGGGCATGATATAAATCCTGCATCTCCTCAGTGAGCTCAGCAAAAGCTAAGGCAGAAAAAGAGATTATCCAGAAAAGATCCATAAGGACCTCAGGTAAAACACAGACATGTACAAGAGCCTTTCAGAATGTTTAAATAGCAGAAACATCACTGGCTCAGACTGATAGGATAGAGTAAAGGATTGGTGCCTGACTCCTAAACTTCCACAGAGAGGTGTAAGCTGACAAAGATACCCAGCTATGAAATGAGCCATCTATCCTTCAGGCAAAAGAATAAATGGCCCCAAGACCAGAGCTACAGATGTAAAAAACCTGTAAAGTTAAATTCACAGGCACAGAGGCCAAGGGAAAAGCCTCAGAAATAGTGGGCGGAGCTATGGACCCTAAGGATGAAGACTCAGGCCAGAAATGAAACCTTACAGAATTTGTCTGTCAGGATTTCAAAGCTGCTTGTAACTCCTGACTAATATCTTCTTTCGATAATTTTTCTTCTTTTACAACGAGAATATCTATAACTCTTATCCCAGATATGTTCCATCACTATATTCTGAAAGCAGATCACATATTACTAACTTCACAGAACTTCATATGAAAATGAATTCTGTGGTAGAATGGATTATATCCAGTCTTCCCATACTTTATTTAATGATGGGATTAGGGACTTCTTCACCGGGCCTGAAAGAAAGGCATGCTCTTAGATCAAGAAGTGTTCAACTGTATCCACAAAATCCATGCATACAATAGTGATATTATAAACAGAAAATGTAAACTCAAATGATTCAGCTAATGAACATCCCTCCCTGATGATGCCAAGAAGAAAGTCAGAATAAAGCTACAAGAGCATATAAGATGGAATTAAATATATTTACATAATCATTTGAAGATACAACATATGTGTGCATATTGAGTTGTATGTATCTGATTCACAGTATCAGTTAAAAAACAACAAAGAAACCATGGTAGCAGTGCATGCTATAATCCTAGCACTTGGGAAGCTAGGACAAAAGGATCACAAACTGACGATCCAGTTGGGCTACAGGGAAAAACCATGTCTAACAAAAACTAACGGCTGGAGACAGAGCTCAGGGACAAAGATGTGAGCATACAAGGTTCATACATCAGCACAATAAACAAACAGGAAAACACTTCTGAAAGCAAAAGGTTATGAGTGTATGCACATGTATGTGTACACATTCACTAACTAAAAAATTCTAAAATTTTAAGTGGATAAATATCAGGAAAAATGATCTATTGAATGCAGGAAAGAAATTCTTTAAAGAAAATCTACCTGAGAAATAAAGATTAATCCCAGGTGTCCAGTGAAAATTTAGTTTCATAAGGAACTGAGGCACTTCAGGAAAGCAACCCAGGAATGGTAGTAAGATTAGGGAGATAACAAACGTGAATGGGAGACAGGATGAGACTTCATATCTATAACTAGTTACTGATAGAGAAGCAGAACAGCCAGCACCAGCAATGGGGACAGGGAAAGGCAAGCCAACAACTTAAAGGACCAGCTGTGTCAGATAAGGGGACACTGACCTGACCCTCAACTATAGGACACATTCCTCTGTCATCACTGCTTCAGTTGCTCCCTCTAGGTTCCTGCCTAGAGTTCCTGCTTTGGATTTCTTTAATGATGGACTTCAACCTGTAAGACCAGTAAAAATAAAACCTTTCCTTTCCAAGTTGTTTTGTTTTTATCAGAGCAAAAGAAACCACAGGAGAACACTTAGCCTTCCTTGGGGGTTGATGCTGGCACCAAGAATGTCAAGTACAAGGTCCAGAAGCCAGTGAGGATCAGCATTGTGCAATATGGTGGCCAACTGCCACATGAGCTATAGAGATGTGCTATCCATAGGAAATTCATACCAGATTCCAACAACAGCATGAAAAACATACAGTGAATCACAAATTAACCTTTTTTTAAAACTTAAAATAATTCAACTACCTCATGATTTAATCTATATTGGCTACCTGGTTAAATGATGATATTTTGATATTTTCAAGTAAACAAAAAATATTTTGGAAAAAAAAGAAATATATGTAGAACATAGACTTCAAAGTGAAAAATATTATGCATAATGTTTTTTAAAGTGTGCAGAGGGGGCTGCAAAACAGTCCAGTGGTAGAATTCTTGTCTGTATGCACAGGCATTAGTTATGTTTAACACTGTCAAAAGTTATACATACTACATAATATACTAGGAGTCTTTAATATTTCACTCTCAGAATACAATATGGCAAAATTAAGGAAGGAGACAGAGGAATAAGACATAGTCAGCAAGGCAGGCGTTACGATGTGCACAGAATGTTATACTTTCTAATAGAATCATAGCCTTTTCTCGAGCATGCACATGAAACACTCGCCGAACTGTGATCACAGACTGGCTCACAAAGAGAGCATCACCAAGTTCCACAGGCAGCAAGATAACAAAGCATAACCAGAACACAGTATGATTAAACCTGTCAGGAAGTCCCAGAGTTTTGTTGTATCTTTAACTCTCAGTGAAAAGAGGAAAATCAACTGAAATGACCTCATTTCTTGAATAAACTACTTATTTTTGTCAACTGAAAAAAAACAATGTACTATAATCCCAACTCAAGAAGCTACAAAAGCAAAACAAAAGAAAGCACATACAAGGAAAAAAAAAAAAAAAGGTAAAATTAAGGAGGGAGAAATACAACTGTAAGCTTGACTTAATAAGCCTGAAGCCAGATTCTTTGAAAAACTAAGAAACTAGACTATTAGGCCAATGAAATCCTAAGAGAGTACGGCCAAAACGAATGATGAGGAAGATTCAGTGCACAAGCCCACACATATCTCAATACCAAAACAAGCATATTTTTATAAGATAAGGAACAGAGCAGGCACCTTATATGTTACTATCACTTTACAGAGTCCTATAATTAATATACAAAAGAATAGAGGAAACTTGAGAAGGTGTAAGACACAGAAAAGAAAAACTGTCCATTGTAGATGACAATATGCCAAACCCAAAAACTCAGAGATCTGCCAGTCAGCTCTGATATTCACTCAATTGACAGTTTCACTGTGCTGTAAAAACAAAACAAGAGATCCCTAAGATCTTACAGAAGACTGTGGTGTGATTTCAGGCCATATCAGGTGATAAGTCCAAATACACCACTGCTAATTTTTATGTATGAAACAAGAGGAAATGAGATACATATTTATATATCTGCTTATATTTATAGAAAGAAGTACGGGAGGGATAAAAAGCATTTTATATTCCTACACCTTTTAAAGCACTATAGAAGAATTTTAAACATTCATATAAAACTGTCCACTCAACTGGTTTTCGTTGATTGGTTGGGTGGGTGGTCAGTCGGTCGGTTGGTTAAGGAATAATGCAGTAAGTGCACACTTTGACTATCTGAGAACACAGCCTGTGTATTCGTGCACACACGCGTACCTCTTTGTACTCCTGTTAGGCTGAGAGCTGAGGGAGTTAGGCAGTTCAGTCTCGCTGTCTTCTGACTGGCTGTGAGCAGTGCTTTCTTCCCCTTCATCGTCCACTTCATTCAGAGCCTACCTCAACAAGAAAAGCAGCAGCACACGTTGACCATATGCTTACTATCCTCTCTGCCACAGCAGAAATCTCTCCAAGGCTAACTCCTCATGTGAGCCAACTACCAAACCCTCCAGTCTTCCTCAACTAACGGTCCTTCTAATACCTTCAGAGCTGCCTGCCCAACTCAGCTGTCCATATCTAACAGAAGGAAGCCTATTCCTTCTCGGCCTAACCACGTGCCCACCTGGAGATACTCCTCTTTGTCTTTTATTTTTATTCACTCCAGGCTAACCCAATGTTATGTAACCGAGGCTGGCCGCAAATTCGCAACTGCTTCTGTTTCAGCCTTTCTATTGCTAGCATTGCACACTTGTGGCATCATCATTGGCACTGCCAATCTCTTTAAAGGATCATTTCTCATTGTGCACCCACCATCTATGCTCTGAACCTTTGCTTTTGTCCTAATCCACTCAAAATAAAAATACTTTCTACAATGTCAGAATCAGCATGTTGATTCCCAGAAGACAATCCTGTGTTCCCTTTCCTCTCTGACTCATTACCCCTTACTCATCACTTGTTCCTTTACACTCTTGATAAGGATTGTATATGCATGAGGAATTTAGTCCAATACCCAAACACACACAATAAAGTGCCAGATATGGCAGTGCATGCTTTTAATCTCAGCACTGTGGAGGCCGAGATGGGGTGCTCCCCGGGGCTCCTTGCCAGCCAGTCTAGGCTTAGGCAGTAAACTCCAGACCAATGAGAGACCCCATCTCAAAGGAAATGGACAGTATTCCTGAGAATGACACCAAGAATGTCCTAGGACTTGCACATGTGCAAACACATGCAAACACACACACACACCTGCAACACATACTAAACTATTCACTCATCCTTCAACTTCATATCGTATCTTCTTGGACCTTCTATTCTCTTTCTAGCTTATATTTCCAATATTCTTTATTAGTTCTCTTTTTCTACTGTCTCTTTATGGCTGACAGGACAATGGTTGACATTTAAGTTTTTAAAATGTCCACCACGTTGCCTGTACAAAGCTGAATTCCATTTCAGCCTGGGCCCTTTTTTCACTCATTTCAGTGAACGCAATGCATTACCTGAGGTTCTGTGACAGATTCATTAAAGAGAGACTGGGTAACAGGGTCTTGATTTACTCCAGTGGGACGCTGAGAAGAATCTGGAGCCATTGTTACATTTGGAAATCCTGCAGAAGGAACGAACACAAGTCATTATTTTATTTCATCTGCTTAAAGAGGCTTTGCAAGTTCTACAAGGCTGCAGGCCCCCTTCACCTCACGGAACTCTAAAACAGCTCTACTTACATATGTGGATACGTACCAGCCATATACCTAAACCCATTTTACCTTCACAAAACTCCATGAGATAGGTTCTATCATTTTACAGACATGTAAACTAAACCTTAGAGAAGGTAAGTAACTAGCCCAGAGTTACTCTAATAACTCTAATAATGGCTGACCATTTATTAGATTCAAACTTTTTACTAAAAATAAATCATATGCTTCTGAAAGATTAAACAAGTTATATAGCATTATGATAAAAAGTACTGAAGCCTTTAAGTAATTTAATTAATAGTATATGCCTTTAATGACAGCATTCAGAAATTAAGAGGCAGAAAAATTGGGAGTTCAAGGCCAGGTTTGGCTACATGAACCCTGGGGGTGGAGGGCAGGGATTATCCTATGTAACTAAAGAAAATCAATGTTTCTTTTAGCAAGAAACTGAGGCATCTTTAGATTTTAAGCTAAGCTTACTCAAACTACATGGAAATGAACATATTTTAATAATGTGGTAGCTTAATAAGCTGATAATTAAGCCACGTTTTATAGTAACAAAGTGCTGTACTTCGTACCACATTTTAGCAGATAATTCCCTTAGTTGAACAATTTGTAATACTTAATATTCCTAGTAAAGAGGAAATGAATCAAGATTCTTCACTCTAATAATCTTCATATACTATCCAGCTAGAACACATAGCAGGAACACGATTCCTAAAATCAGATTGAATTCTTCTAATAACTTTCAGAAAGAAAAGCAGGTTTGGTGTGGACTGAAAGCTTACCTACACGCTTACGAGGGACATCAACAAACAGTCCTTTGGCCGCAGCTATCAGATGATCGGATTTTTCCAGGATATCCTGTGTCTGGTACTGATCGGAAAGCATCTACACACATATTAAGAAAAATATTGTTCAGAAAAAAATACATTTACTTTCAAAATCACTAAGGAAAAAGACCAAGGAAAGGTACCAAAAACAACATTTTAAAAACTTAACTATCAACCTTTATTGGTTGTAGTTGTTGAATTTGCTCTTAACTATGGGCCATGACCATCCTAAAATCCTCTAATGTCAACATCCTTAGATAACAGTAGGTGAGGCTAGTAAAATAATTAGCAGTTTCAAAGGAATACATATGTTGGGAGTTTGGTCTGATGCTTGTATATTCCTGCTAGTTACTGGCCCTCAAGATCTGGTTACTGCCCGAACACATCTATCCTTGTTGTGTAAACCTACCTAAGACATTATACCTGACTGCTTATTAAACAATCCCCTGCCTATACCTGGGCAGGAGAGAATGGGGTAGGCGTGGCTAAGGTTCCCAGGCTTTGGGTTCAAGAAAATCATGGGAGACAGATGGATGGCAGAAGAGGAAGAGGGAGGATGACATGATGGGTTAGCATGAAGAAGAAACCAGGTGGGCCAGGAGGAAGTACTCTAATAATGGAAAGGCCCAGATGAAGAATATAAGCAAGTATCTTGGGATTATGGATGAAAGGTAGCCCAGATAGGAACGGTTAAAGCAGATGGCATTGGATGGAGGCTGGGAGACGGATGGTGAAGTTACTGCGATAGCATAGGTAGAAAGATATGCCTTGCCCAAGGTAAAATAGGCTATTATAAAATTTAACGGGTATCTGTGTTTTATCTGATTGATCGTGGGTTAGATAATACCACCAGGACAATCATAGAGCAAATAATAAATAATATATAGCCCAACACTCATTTTTATTTACTACAACATACATATTACATTGTGACCTGGCATACACACACCTTTTTAAATTAAGACTTTTATACAGTCTTTTCAAATGAGAATGACTATATTTAAGTTTTATTCCTTCTAGTGTTAAGTGATGGCTGTAGTCCACTAACTTGATCTCATAATCCATAATAAATAATAATATGCAGCCCGAAAAACAAAGATTAAAGGCAAGAATCTTTGAGCCATGAACTCAAAGGTATTCCTACCACTGAAGTATTCTGATTATCCACTAACAGGCCATGCACGACTTGTGACTTAAAAAACAAGGTATAGTTTTAAGGTTAAACAAATAATGTTATGCTTGGGTATTTATAAACAAGTTAGTTTTATTTATCATGGAGAGATGGTTACACAAAAGCACCACTACAATCGTCCTTTCTATTGAAGGACTTTAATATACATAGAAGCAAAGGCTACAGACGAATCAATTTTATCTACCACCACCAGATGGCATTCTTAAGCCAAAAGGAATCTAAAAATCAAGGCAGTTCCATTTCTAACACTGACTCAAATCAATAAAGTATCTAATAATAAACACTCCAACTTGAATTTCTCTATAACACAGAAAATTACGTCCGTCACATGACATCAATTATTATTTTAGGATACAGCAAAAAAAGGGAGTTGTGTTTTTTTTTTTTTTAATTTTATTTTTTTCTTATGAGTACATTTTATTAACTCTGTATCCCAGCCATATCCCGCTCCCTCATTCCCTCCCAATCCCAGGGAGTTGTGTTTTTAAGTTATCTTTTCTGCTATGGCCAAGCAGGTCAGCGGGGTCAGTTAATGAGACTAAGTCTTGAATTTGCTCCTTCCAAAGAACTTTAGAACCGCATAAGACCAAGAGCACGCATGGTGTAGAACACTGGGGTTAGGGCCACAGCAGACACAGTAAACAAACTCCAACCACTTAAAACTTGGTTTCCTGCTGTGCTTTACTTGAGATCTGATTATAACTGACACCGGGCATCAATGTGGTTATTAATTAATAAGATCATTCCTCTATTTTCTGCTTCTGTCAGTTCCATGACTTTATTTTAACAGAGGATTATGCCTTTAAAACAAAAGGTAGTAAACACTTCAAATTGCCACTAGGAAATACACAGTGTGATTTTCTAGCATGGTGATAACCATACTATGCCTCTGTATCATGGATATGCCTATGGTCCTATCACATCCCTTAAATACAGACGCCATAAACACAGAAAAACTTAGTAACTGAAACAAAACATGCACATACTCTTTGACTCTTACTTTTTCTTTTCTTTTTCCCCCCAATACTTGAGAGTAAGCCTTCAAGCATCCTAGGTAAGTAAGCTAAAACCCCAGTTCTTGACTTTGTACTTTTTTTAATAATTCATTCAACAAATAAGCCTGTACCCCAAAACATAATAAAACTGTTTTCTTCATTATTTAAAGTGACAAGGTAAGAAGCAATTTGTGAGTGACACACACTACTACTTATCCCCAATACTGTCATTTAACTGCACAACTTCTAAGTTTCTTTTGTTGTTGTTTTAAGACAAGGTTCCTCTGTGAAGCTCTAGCTATCCTGGAACTTGCTTTGTAGACCAGGCTGGCTTCAGACTCACAGAGATCCATCTGCCTCTGCCTCCCCATTGCTAAGTGCTGGGATTAAGCCCAACTTAATCCTACATTTTAGTAAAGGATGCAGCCAGATTTCTCACCCCTCTTTGAATATGGGAACTGCCAAGCAATAATGTTCTGAGGAACAAGACATGATGCCAAAATCTCTGGCTGGCATAAAAGGAGTAGCAGACACTGTCTATTTCTACTTGCTATTGACTTTCACACAACTGAAGGAAGTTGTAATGGCTATCCTATACTCAGAGACAGAAGTCACACTCTGAAGAACTGCAGGGTCCTCTACCAGCCAGCTACCTCTGAGCTCTTCCATTAGAGAACCAAATCTGTGTTATGTTTAAATTACTATATTTTAAGTTCCTTTCTTCCCAGAACCTTAAGCTGCATTCTAATACACAACATAAGTGTCCAAAACTAAAACAATCAATAATAAATTATGGCAAATCTATACCAAACCAACATTAAAAAAAAGGTAAATTTATTTCTAAGTATTGATTTCCAAGATACACTGGCATGTCAACAGAATCTACTCAACCCTACATGAGTGTCAGCAGGGTGAAAAACTATATGCCAGCAAAGCTTGGAGTGTTATTACAATACAAACTATATCATCTTATGAACAAAATTTCTATTTTTCATGAAATATCTTCCAAGTCCATGCAACTAAAAGCTTAGGAAATATAACTTGTAATGGACATAATGTATAGCAGATCAGCATGGCTATGGCTACAGTAATAACTGACAAAGGCAGAAAGTGGAGGGATAGTCTTGCTAATCATGTTGACACTGGGCAGTAATTACAATCAGGTTTCAAGCGAAGCTGTTGCTTTTCCCTCTTCTGCTAAGTCTCTGTCACATTTCTTGGAGCAGATTGTTTATGTGGCCAAACATCGCTGTACTAGCCTTACGAAGTAAGATATGTTGTTAAACAAAAACATCTAAATCTCATCAAAAGCTGCGGTTCTGAAGCCCTGCAGAACATGAGAACACTATGGGAAACTGAGGACACTGGCTGCCCTCTTTAGGAGCATCTGAGTCATGGTGAAGTCTCAGGTGCAGTAAGGACTGAGAAGCAGTACACTACAGATGCAGGAAGTGGCACACTGGGACCCTTTGCCTGTCCTCTCACTAGTCTTCTCTTTGCTCTGCTCTACCACATTTATCACCTGGGTGAAAAGCTAGGAGGGGTGAAGAGACATAATGGTTATCATGAATTAACATTGTTTATGGCTCATGGAACCAGGCTGGAATCCCAGCACCCAATTGGCTTTATAGGATCCAATGCCCTCTTCTGACCTCAACTGGCACCAGACATACATACATATATACATACACACACATACATACATGTAGGCAAACAACAACACACAAAAAATGAAAATTAAAAAATCTTCAAAAAATAAGAGGAAAAGAAAATTAGAACTAGAGAAAAACCAAACCCCCAAGTCCAACATCTCCCAAAGAGGTTTTCTAGGTCAGATTTATGGTTTTAGGCCATTAGATGATAACTAACACATTCGCATGAGTGGTCCAAGGCCACAAGATGAAAAGTCAAATTCTCTGAATCCACTGTTCCTTTCTCAGGTTATGTAAACATTTATTTGGGAGCTACAGTTCTTCCTGACGCATAAGATTCCTCTAAGAACTCATTTCCCAACAGGCCACCTGTAACTTAAAGCCACCATGAAAGTCCATGTAGACAGCAAGCACCACAAGCTTAGCCTGAGCAAGGAGCCACATACACAGCACATTCCTTTACTGTGACTTCAGCTCAAATAAAAAAGGTTGCTCTGCTATAGTTCCTTCTTGCTTGATCACTGTTCACCCTACATATCTGATTACTTCTTCAAACATGCAAGCAGGCAAAAGGTTAAACCAGAGATTAATGGCTTAAGACCTAGATCAACAGGCACACAAACACAAAATGATTTGATTTCATTTCATTTTTGCCAAGTAATTCTACTATACTGCTGAACTGAGACAGAATTACAGCAGTTTACAGATACACAGAACTAATCATTTGCCAAAGGCTGTTGTTAATCTCTTTAAAAGCATTATGCCAGGGCTGGAGAGATGGCTCAGTGGCTAAGAAAGAATACTGGCTGCTCTTACAGAGGACCCAAGTTCAATTTCCAGCACCTACATAGCAGCTCACAACTGTCTGTAACTCCAGTTTTAGGAGATCTGACACTTTCTTCTGGCATGCACAGACATACATGAAGGTAAAACATCATACACTTAAAATTAAAAAACAAGTATTATGCCATTAAAATCTCCTAACAACATGGCCAAAATTTTTAAGGATAAAAAGTCAAACTAATTTAAAGCCATTTGCTTTACAAAATTTGTAGAAAATTGAATAGAACTAAAAAAATACTATATTAGGTTAGGCAACGGAGACCTAGACAGATGGGAACTGATGTATGCTCTCATGTGTGAATCCTGGCTTCTAATTGTTAAGTATGCGGTTTAGGTGGAAGTAAGTGTGTACAGAGGCCAGAGAGGTTTCTTATAGAACCATGAAACTAGAGGAAAGGTGGGATGAATACATGTGATATGAAGTGAATGGGGAATGCTAGAGATAGACAACTCAGTAAGACAGGATGAAGGGTGGGGGAAGAGGGGACAGGGTAGGAGACAACCATCCCCGACAAGTGTTATGACAATCGCAGAAGAACATGCTGCTCTGTAAGCTAATTTTGAAAGGAAGAAAGAGAAAAAGGAAAAAAGAAAATTCCAGGCCAAGGAGTTATATAATCTAAGGCTACAGAGCTAATGAGTTGTGGAAGGAACTTTTCAAGCAGCAAACCAGACTCTACCCCTCATCCTGCTGCTCCCTGAACTAGACTCCACCCCTCATTCTGTTGCTCCCTGCACTAGCTCCACTCATCATCCTGCTACTCTCTTGCAGAGCCCCTACACAGCTCACTATATAAGGCTGCAGTAAATAATAGAGTCTCACCAGTGAAACCAAACCAATGGAAAAAGAGCTCTAAAGGCAATGAATTTTTGCACTACCTCCTTCATGATAGATAATTTTCTTTTTTCAAGACTTGAATTTTCTGGTTTCTGTTTCTTCCATTTTCTCTTCAAAGCTTTTTCTTGAAGTTCCCAGTGCACCAATGCTCTATTCTTTGACTTGTGTATCTCGTGACGGCGTGCCTACACAGAAGGAAAAACTGTAAAGAAATGTCTTCAGTAACAAAGAAGTTACATGTTCCTATATAAGACACTTAAACTAGTTCACCACATCTTGTCTCTCTCTGCTTTCACATGTGTGTGCATGAGTGTGTTCATGCATGTACATCCATAGCTAACACTTTAATAGTCTTCTAAGTTTTCAAAAATGATCTAAAAGAGAAATAACTGTAACTTAGAGGTCTATCACAAAAATAAACTCTACTTCATTTGTACAGACTACCAAAACCTCTAGTGTCCTTCAATTCACAGGTTAAAACTTATAGCTCTGAAGTAGCTTCGCATGAAAGTGAGCTCATAGCTGATACAGCTATCCATGGAGGAGAGTTCCTGAGGCAGAAGAAACAGGAGCCAGAGCTCCTGAAGAGTTGGAAGGAAAGAGTCCACTGGAGCGACTGAGGAGTAAAAACAGACACTCCACCTTCATAGGTACTCAAGTGCTCAGAATTGTAAATATGAACAAAACTGGGGCCATCTAATGAAGTTTTAATCATGTAAACTACCAAAAAGACTGGCAATCAAGAATTGTGAACATGCAAATCAGAAACACAATGAGCCAGTACTTTATATTATATCCAACAGGAGAAATAGAATCTAAAGGTGACAATAGTTGCATGAACTGGAAACCCCACGTGTGCTGGTGGAATTTACATCACATGAGCACTTTGGAAAACAGTTTGGCAGTTTTCATAGATTCCAATATGAAGATACATGCCCTAGCCAGTCTAGTCTAGATATACACAACTGACTGTGTGTGTTCACACAGAGACCTGTATAAGAACGTCCACAGTGGTATTATTCGTAACAGACAACAAGAAGAAATAAACCAGATGTACAACTGACAACCAGATAAATCAAATCTGGAATCTCCATTCAATGGCACATTATTTCACAACACTAAGGAATAAAGTAGATACATACGCTATACCGTCGATGAATCTGTAAAACACGCTAGAAAAAGAGGCTCCAAGTAACATACCACATACTGCATTATATTTCTAAGAGAAGTCAAGGCTAGACAAATCCAGAGACAGAAAGTAAATTAGTCACTGCCACGGATGGACAGGCTAGCCAGGACTACACAGCACATACCTGTCTTGAAAATATAACAACGATAGTAAGAAATGCTAAAGATACATCTAGACAGAAAAGACAGAGATCTATAAGTCAATTCTAGGTAAGTGCTGCAACTGTAAGCCAAAACTGTTGAGCAAAATTCTAACAGTGGCTGGTTAAGTCTTGTTAAAATCAGAAATTCCTTAAGATATGCTTTTAGGTTTTATACAGCAGTGAACAAGATTAAATAAAATTAGACAACTTCCAGGGCTGGAGAGATGGCTCTAAGGTTAAGAGCACTGGCTGCTCTTCTAGAGTTCCTGAGTTCAATTCCCAGCAACCACACTGTGGCTCACAACCATCTATAATGAGATCTGGTGCCCTCTCCTGGCCTGCAGGTGTGCATATATATAAATATAAAACTATAAATAATAAATTACCCAACTTCTAAGAACTGATAATGGTTTCTGTTCTAAAGATTAGAAACCAGACACCAAGTAAAATATAAAATCCAGGACATAACTTTCAGTGTTAAACTTACCAGATCTTCAGGAGTTGCCCGGTGAACTGTTAGATCATTCACAGTATTCTTTAAAAAGAAAAAGAAAAAAAAAGGCATGAGCTTTCAAATTATCCTTATGAATTATTAACAGTTACTGAGTTTTAGTAGCTGAAAACTAATTCAAAATGAAAGAAAAAAAATCTTTTTTTTTTTTTAAGGAACCAACACTATCAATATAATGTTAAAACAGATTACTCTTAAGTATCTTCTAGAAAACAGACTATTTTTAGGTGTTATACAGGAAATAAATTACTCTATTATTATAAAACAGGGTAGCAAATATTATAAGTAAACTTAACTGAAGCTATTGTTTTCAGATACTAGGATTCCATGAGGCAATTGTAAAGTGTTTTAACAAAGAAAGTGTGGTCACTACAGTGAGCTGCAAAAGGACCTTTTTTTGAGGACATGATTTCTCACTAAAACTCTAATTCTTGGAAGGAAATAGAAGCTATTTCCCTTACTATGTGTCCTCTAGGATGGGGAGGATGAACATCCTGCCATTCCCTCCAAGACCAAAACTTGCCCGGAAACTCACCTGACCGTGTTAGCGACTGATCAGAACACCCACTCTCCAGAGCATGTTGCCTACAACCCTGATACTTACATCCCATTCTTGCCTCACTGCAGCTTTCTTCTTTACTTTCAGAGTTTTTCTTCCACCTCCCCGGGGACCAAAGCGATTCACTCTGATCAATGACATCTAGGAATATTAACATTTTTTAATAAAGGCAAAGAAATAATTTTGCATCATGGGAAGGGGGCATCTAGGACAAGTAAAATCACTCTCAAAATATCAGAATTTAATCATGATGAAAGGAATAGGCTATCTAAACATTTGATTTTCTCACTTTACAAAATTAATATAGAATGAAACCAATAACCATGATAAAAAGATTTTAAATGACAAAACCTTTTGCTTAATAAAGAACTTTATAAATATAGAAATTATGACCTAAAATAGAAGACTAAAATGGTTATATCTTTGTCAACAGATACAAAGTTCACAATTAGTGGAGCAAAGGCCAGAGCTGGGTAATGTGAGGAAGGCAGTGCAGTTCTAAGCATGCTAACACATCCCTGCCAGGCACATCTGTGCTCACCACAGAGGGGTACAGACTTTAGAGAACCTTAAGGTCTGATTCCACCTCTAGTAAATCTTCACACAGCACTGAATAGAGCTGATTTTGTAAATTACCAGCATTTGCTGGCAATCAAAATCGCCATGTGGGACTAAACATCATAAAAAGTTAGGCCAGGCCCACAGTCCACAGTCCTTGAAAATCAAGGTTTTTACAATCCATAGGTATCACTGCAAAAACAAAACAAAAATACACGTGACTTCTACTTCAGAAGATCTTTACCTACTGTGGCAATTCAATATGAAAGTATCACTTACATTCTAAGAGACTCAAACTTTTGTTGGGCCTCACAGCCAAAGTTAGCCAAAGTTAATTAATACACCCTGAAGTCACTTAAAAAAATTTTTTTTAAGATTTACTTATTTATTAGGCACACAGTGTTCTACCTGAATGTATGCCTGTACTCTAGAAGAGGGCACCAGATCTCATTATAGATGGTTGTGAGCCACCATATGGTTGCTGGAAATTGAACTTAAGACCTTTCGAAGAGCAACCGGTGCTCTTAACCTCTGAGCCATCTCTCTAGACCCAAAGATTTCTTTATTATATGTACTCATCCTGTTTGTTTAATCTGCCTGTAAGAGAACAATGTAACAATAAGCCTATTTGTATTGAATTTCCTATGTAATCAACTTTTGCAACCTAAACTAATGTGCCCTTTTATGCCCCTGGCCCAAAACAATGCATGTGTATCTTTTGCTGAAAGCAACTAATATAGAGATTGAAAACAACCTTCTAAAATGAATAACCACTTTTGAATGTTGGCTAATAAACAATGGTGTTCATAGTAGTTTGTTGTGTGGGTCAGTGAAGATCACTTAGAGCCAGTTACTTAATCTGTTATAAAATCTTTTAAAGATTTCTGTTAAGATATCTTTCTTTCCCCCACTCTTTCCCACGTGATACCTTCTGTGCTGTTCAGTAAATACAGAGCAAAACCCTTTGTTAGAGACAGACAGAGACAAGCACACAAAACACACAGACACACACACAAACACAGATACTTTCATACACAGACATACAAACGCTGGGACAGATTGACAAGACAGCCTTTAGGCAAGCAGATTCAGACTCACACAACAGAGGACAGAAGACACAGGGAGTATGAAGTAGAGCACTAAAATTTTTACTCACTCTTGGTTAAATGACTGCCAAGGGGAAATGCTTTTCTTTCCTTAAAGTGTTAATGCATTATTGGTGACTCAAAGTCAATCACTAATGCATATAATCCGCACAACCTACCAAAATAATTACAGAACTTTCAGGCCAACCTTCATATTCCCTACTAGCCTACAGTGCCGTAAGTCACAGCTCCTACACCATCTGTCTTCCCAATGGAGATTAAACACAGAGCCTTGCACAAACTAGGCAAGTTTCTACCCTTAAGCGACCCTTCCCCTTTCAGTAAGTACTTTAACAAAATAATCTACTGGAATAAAGATTCCTAAACTTCAGTGTTTCTCTAAAACAATCTTCCTCACTCTCTATATTGTCTTTCTCTTATGACATTTTACTCTTTAAACATGTTGTCTAATTTCAGAGTTTACAATCCAAAGGAGGTAAGTCGCAAAAGGTTAGAAAATGACAAGTTATTTTGTTTTTTCCTGTGATACTGAGCTTAGATTGATGGCCAGGTGTAAAATATGCCAGGCAAGTTCCCTCACACTGAGCTCTACGCCCAGACAAACAAATAAGACTTGTTCTCCCATGCTGAGGCCATTTTTCTTTACCTATTTTAAGTTTTGTTAAATATACATATATATATAAAGAGTTTCATAATATTTTCATACATGTACATAATGTACTTTGATTATATCACTCCCCAATTGCCTTCTCTTCTCCCCGCCCCAAGCTGGTCCCATGCCTCTTTACAAATAATCAAGTATCTCCCTTTCCAGTTCACATCTTTTCCCAAAAGCTAGAGAAAACATGTAATACTTATCTCTCTGAGTCTGGCTTTCCTCCCATTTAGCATAATTTCGAGTTCTATTTTCTTGCACATATGGTTTCATTCTTTTTGTGGTTGAATAATACTCCCTTGCAAATACATATTACATTTTCTTTATCCAGTTATCTGTTGATGGCCATCTACACTGAATTCATAACTTGACTATTGAGAACACTGTCACAAACCTGGATGCACAGGTATGCCTATGGCACCCTTAGACTCCTTTGAGTATATACCCAGGAGCAGTACATGCACCATGGTTCTTTCTTTTTAGTTTTGAAGAACCTCCACACTGGCTGTACTAATTACATTCCCTACAACAACATACAGGGGCTCCTCTTCAGCTCCCAATATTCACACCAATATCTGTTGTTTTCTTGGTGACAATACTCATTCTGGTGAGATAGAATGTAGCTTTGATTTGCATTTCGCTCATGGCTGAAGATGTTGAACATGTTTTTTAAAGAGAACTATTTGTGTGTGTGAGACAGAGAGAGAGACAGAGACTGTATGTATGTATGGGTGCCCCCGGGAGTCAGAAGATGGTGTCAGAACCGGAGTTATGGGTGGGCATGAACCACCCAATATGCATACTAGGAACCAAACTCCTTCCTCTAGAAGAGCAGTGCATGCTCTTAACGACTGAGCCATCTCTGTCCAGGAACTGAACGTTTTTCTCATATATTTATCAGTCTCATATATTTATTGTACTTGTTTTGAAAACTGTCTATTCACTTCATTTGCCCACTAATTAGTAAATGTTTTCTTTTGGTGTTTAGTTTTGTGGAGTTCTATATTCTGGATATAATGCCTGTCAAACAACTGAAATATATTAGAGAAATAAGGCTTTTCCCCATACTGGTGGCTGTTTCTTTACTCCTTGAGTTCCAAATGTGTAGCTTCTTAATAGGGTATACTATCATTTGTCAATTCTTTTCTTACGTTGATTTACTTATCTCTGGAGACAAATAAGGAGCACAAGCACAGTCCATGTATGAGGGCCATAGAATAAGGAGTTGGTTTCCTCCTTCCACCATAGGGATGTTAGGTTGGGTTGCCACTGGGCCATGGGCCATCTCATTAGCCCACACTTGTTAACAGTCTCGTGCAGAATGTCTTTGCCTGTGCCATTATCTTGACATGTTTCCCTGGTTTCCTCTAAGAGGGTCATGTCTTTCATTAAGGTCTCTGATCAATTTGAATAGAAGTTTTACTAAGTGGGGAAAGGGATATGGTTTCAGTTTCTGTGTATGAACACAATCTTCTCAGCACCATCTGTCACCAACAATTAAGTTTTACAATGGTGATGACAATAACAGCTGTAGTGAGGTAATGAGGCATCAGCAGAGCCTGTCTGAGCACTTACTATCCACTAGACTGTTCTAAGCTATTTGCACATGCTAGTTTAATATAAGAGCTCCATGAAGTGGTTACTACTTTGACTCAATAAAATATATATATATATATAGATGAGAAAATTAAGGTGCAAAGAGTTAGCCAACTTTGAAGTTCAGCTGTAGTAGAAACAGCCAGCATTTAACAGGACACGGAACATGGAAAAGTGGTTTACATAAAATGAACCACTGCATTTACGTTCCAAAAAGGGTGCCCAACAATGCAATTCAAAAAGGACTGTTTTCAATATTCCTATGAGAAGCTCAGCCTCCTACTTCACACAGGGCATAAAAATTAGCTTAATATTAAGTCATATATTAAAATGTTAGAGCTAAAACTATACAACTCTCAGAAGACAACATGAATACAAATTGCTGTGAACCTTAGGTCAAGGAACAGTTTCTGGAGTATAAAGCCAAAAGCACAAGAAACCAAGATGTGGGGAGGACAGTGCAGTTCATCAAATTTTTTAAACATTGTACTCAAAGGTATAATCAAAAACTGAAAAGATAACTAACGCAGCGGCAAAAGATATCTGCAAATCATTTACCTTGTATCTAGAATATATAAAGAAATCTCATAACTGGACTATTCAAACAACCAAATTTAAAAATGGATATAGATCTTGAATAAATATCTCCAAATAAGATATTGCAGATGGTCAATTAGCACACAAAAAGATGGTCAATACAGGGGCTGGGAGATGGCTCTGTGGTTAAGAACCCTTGTTGGTCTTCCTGAGAACCTGAGTTCAATTCCCACCACCTACGTGGTGGTTCACAACCACCTGTAACTCCAGATCTGACACCCTCTTCTGACCACAAAAAGCAAGAGGCAGCACATGGTGCACATACATCCATACAGGCAAAACACTCAGACACATAAGATAGACATAAAATAAGATTTAAAAAAAAAAGGAAAACAATGAAATGACAGCCAGAACTCTAGGGTGGCTTTAATTAAAAAAATACACACACACACAAGTATTGACAAGTATATGGAGAAAATGGAATTTTCATGTATTTGTTGATTGGAATGTAAACTTACATAGGCACTTTGGAAGACCAATGGGAAGTTACTCAAAAATTTAAACACCATTACCATGTGACCCAGCAATTTTCCTACACAAACACTCAGGAGGAATAAAAACATTAGTCCATAAGAAACCTTGTAAGTGAATGTCCACAATATTACAGCTAATAGACAAAAGTGGAAACATCTCAAAATGCCCATTAACTGATGACTTATAAATATATGATATACATATACAATGGGATGTTATTTGGCAATAAGGTATGAAGTATTGACCTATGCTACAATGTGGATGAAGCTGGAATATATTAACTATGAGAAGGCTAAGTGCAAAAGCCAGTATCACATGATACCTTTTAACCTAAGTTAACAGTAGGCATATACACAGAACATAAAGTAAGCTAGTGGTTGCCTGGGGAGAGAGGAGTACGGTTTGTTTTTCTCCTGGGGAGGAGAGTTGAAAATGTTCTGGAATTAGCTAATGATGTTTGTACAACTGTGAATGTACTTAATGTATTTAATAGATGGATTTTTATGGTACATGAGTTATATCTCAAAGCTGCTGATTTTTTAAGTATGGAAAATACAATATGTTCAAAGAAAGGAAGCCTAATATATTGTAAACACTCACTTAGATCTACAATATACTACACAGAAACACAAAGTTGCAGTAACTCTCTGGACAAATTACATATCCCTAAAAATTATATTAAGAAAATTTAATAACAGAAAAAAGTTAAACACGGGGCTGAGAAGTTAGCTCAGTAGGTGAATTTCTTGCCTTAAAGCCACAGGACCTGAGCTCTGATCCACAGTACCCAGGCAAACACCAGGAAGGCGTGACAACCATGTAATCTCGGGCTCAGGAGGACAGATAGGCAATCCCCAAACTGGCTAGCTGCATTAGCCAAATCAGCAAGTTCTAGATTCAAGGGAGAGACTGTAACATGTAAGATAGAAAAAAAAAAAAAAAGCCACAAAGACACCAGATATCAACCTCTGACA